TATTTTTTGTTTAATTATATAAACATTTATACTTGTTGGGCCTGACAAATAGGATCGGAAGCCAGCCTCCTGAATGAGCTATATTGTGTCCATGGGGGCGTAGAAAAACCTACATAACTTTTTTTTTCTTTTGGATACCGTGAAACAGGCGAGTACGGGAAGGCGGTGCGGTTCGACCCCAACGCCCTGAGCCCTCAGGACCGGGCCAACTTCGATGAGGGCTGGAAGAATCATCAGTACAACGAGTTTGCCAGTCTACAGATCTCCACACAGAGAGAGACACCGGACTTCAGGAATAACGTGTGAGTCTCGTGAAGTTTGTTTGTGTTGGGGTTTTTGTGTGTGTGTGTGTATGTTTATGAAAAAAAATGTTTATGTGTAAAGGGGAGTGTTTGTGCGCCTGTTTGTGAGTGTGTTTTTTATTTTTTATTATTTTATTTTTTTTTGGGGGGGGGGTATTAATGATCTCTGCCTTTTTTGTCGTGTTTTGATTGAAGTGTTAAAGTTGCGTTTGAATTTACGCACGGTGGCATTTTCATCTTTCTTATTACGTGTCACATGTGTGGATCCAAGTGAGAATGTATCGACTTTATTTATATTATTTTATTCTTATCTATTGTAATTATGCCATTGCTAAACAAATTAAGCAGAAAAATGAGAGGCATGTGGTCAGACTTTAGGGCCTCTTACTTAACCTGTCGATGTCTTTCCTTGTAACTTGAAGACGACATTTATGAATCTTTTTTGAAAAAATCAATCTCCTTTAGGTGTAAACAAGAGGATTACGGAGACCTGTCCAAACTGCCGAAAGCCAGCGTCATCATCTGCTTCTACAACGAGGCGTGGTCCGTGCTGCTGAGGACAATCCACAGCGTCCTGAGCAAATCCCCTCCAGAGCTGATTGAGGAGATTATTCTCGTAGATGACTTCTCGGATATGGGTAGGTTGAACCACACAAAAATATGTATAAGGTGTGCTCTCCTCACTTCACCCAGGGGCTAGACGGTCATATAATCAGGCCATCTGCGCGCTACTGACCTAGATTCCTTGTGGGCTGACACACCCGTGTAGTAAGCCCACAACCTTGTAGATCATTAGTAGTGATAAGCCTACGCAGGGTGCGGCGGTCAGTTTGAATTGTTGTTTTCTCATGCTTTGACAC